CGTTTTACCTCACCCCCCCTTAAAGCTATAGTAAACTGTAAAAAAAAAAAAAAAAAAAAAAAAGGTCCCTCTGCAGGCTTATGTTATAACATGGTAAGTCTGACAATGTGCTAGTATCAGGGGCGGACTGACCATTTGGAAACTCAAGCACTGCCCGAGGGCCCGGGGGCAGTAGGGGGCCCCATGAGATGCCCCTGGTACCTTTTTTCATAGGCTTTTTTGAGTGTGTTCAAGGACACAGGGGCCCCCTGATCCCCTATTGCCCAGGGGTCCCATGAGTTGTCAGTCTGCCCCTGGCTAGTATGCAGTACATTATTACTAATCTGACATTATGTCAGATTTACCTATAGAATGGATCCCTCTAGGGGCGTGCTATCACAGGGATTCCATCTCTTCACCCAGTCTTCACCCATTTGAATGGCCGAGCCACAATGATGTCACAATTGCGACCCAGCACTCTCAATGGACGGCATACTCAAGTTGCTACTTGGCTTCTACTCACTGGAATATCTCTTAAATGGTGTACGTGTTCATTTTACCAACAGATGAGCTTTACTGCAAGCTTACCTGTAGGTAAAAGTTGCAGAGCGGACTTTACTACTGCTTTAAGCTCCCATATAAAAGGTACGGATTTGGCTCAACACCTACACCCAAAGGGATTTTAAATTATATATCAAAAATGAAAAATTATAAACAAAATTCTCTGTACCGACAAATATCTTTGACTAATATTGAAATTTATTGATTGATTAGTTTAACCACTTGCCTACAGGGCACTTATACCCCCTTCCTGCCCAGACCAATTTTCAGCTTTCAGCGCTGTTGCAGTTTGAATGACAATTGCTCAGTCATGCAACACTATGCCCATATGAAATTTGTATAATTTTTTTTCCCCACAAATAAAGCATTCTTCTGGTTTTATTTAATCGCCACTGGGTGTTTTATTTTTTGTGCTATAAACAAAAAAAGAGCAAAAAAATTTAAAATAAAAGAAGGTTTTCTTTGTTTCTATTATAAAAAATTTTGCAAATGGGTAATTTTTCTTCTTCACTGATGTGCGTTGATGAGGCTGCATTGATAGGCAGCACTGATGGGCACTGAAGAGGTGGCACGGATAGGCAGCACTGATGGGCACTGATGAGGTGGCATGGAAAGGCAGCACTGATGGGCACTGATAGGAGGCACTGATAGGCGGCATTGATAGGCGGCACTGATAGGCGGCACTGATGAGCTGGCACTGATGATGCTGCACTGATGGGTGGCACTGATGGACAGCACTGATGGGTGGCACTGCTGGGCACTGATGGGCAGCACTGATGGGTGGAACTGATGGGTGGCACTGCTGGGCACAGGTGGGTAACACTGCAGGGCACAGGGGGTGGACAGGTGTGGCACTGATGGGCACAGGTGGGCGGCACTGATGGGCACAGGTGGGCGGCACTGCTGGGCACTGATCATCAGGGCACTGATCATCAGTGCTTATCCCTTCACTGACAGTTGACACAGAGTGAGGAAAGTGCAGCCAATAACCGTCAACTGTATTTACCTGGTGATTTGCTGCGTCATTGGACACATCTGATCATGTGGTAAAAGGCAGCCGTGATTGGCCATTTACCATCTCACGTGATCAGCTGTGTCCGTAGGACATAGCAAACACCAGTGGTGCCAGGTGCGTGCCAACGGGGCGCGCAGGGGGCATGTTCTGGAATGACGTCCATGGACGTTGTCCCAGAACCAGACAACCGTGCTGTAGCCGTTCTTTGGCTATAGCGCAGTAGGGAACTGGTTAAAAACGAATGTCCATTAAACACATAAATGCACACATTAGAAAATGTCATGGGTCATGAGATAAGATATCTTGGATCAAAGTGATACATATATATGGTAAATATCGTATCTTTGTATTTATATAAGTAGAATACCAATCAAAAGCTGAGAGTTCTCAAACCAAAGGGACAGTCATAGATGACAGATGGGGATAGAAAGAGTGGCCACTAAGTTTTTTAAATATTGTACATTTTTAAAAAATGCACAGCATGCTGGACTAATGTAGATCCCTGGTCAGTCCCATACACAGTTGACAAAAATATCATGGGTAAATTCCTAATTCTCCAGATTTGGCATATCATGGATAAAGATGAAGAAACATAGTCCTAATATATTTAACTGGAGAGTATATCAAGTATGGATCCATCTTCAATTCTGTATTAGAAACAGTAATGGTTGTGTATGATGTAGCCTCAAAATATCCAAGCCAGAAGAGTGTTAACCATACGTGGTCCAGAGGAGGAGAAGAATATTAGTGTAGGCTTATTTTGTAGATTAATCAACCCAAAAGCACCCTCTGTGGGCGTCATCCTCCCTTGTATTAGTCAAAGATATTTGCCAGTACTCAGAGAAAAACTCTGGTCTGAGAATTTTGTGATTTTGAGATATGATTTAAAATCCCTTTGGGTTGAGGTATTGAGCCAAATAAATACTTTTTATATGAGAGCTTTTTGGTGTTCATTTTTGAGGAGTGCTCTCCTCCCCTCCTTACACTTGTTATTGAGTTTACAGCTATTAGTTGCAAAGGCAGTGGATGGGGGTGTTCACTTGCTGAGGTCACAAAGCTTTGTTTTGTGGTCCTGGTAAAAATGATCTCCTGTGTCCTGTTCACGGTCAGTAGTACATCCGAACACGACCCATTCAAGCAAATGGGGCCACACCAGGGGTGGACTGACCATTTGGAAACTCGGGCACTGCCTGAAAGCCTATGAAAAAGGTACCAGGGGCATCTCATGGGGCCCCCTACTGACCCCGGGCCCTCGGGCAATGCCCGAGTTTCCAAATGGTCAGTCCGCCCCTGAACTGAAGTCATTGAGCCATTTATAGAGCCAGGCCCTGGAATTTTTTAGAAGAAGGTGAGCAATGTTAGCTTTCATATAATCTTTATTATATTACATAATTGTCTTATATTCCTAATTATATTTTATAAATTCATAGGATATAGTATAAATAGGAATATAATACAATTATGTAATACACTATGATACAATATAATACAGACAGTTCTCTATTATCATTAACATCATTATATTAATTCTACTGATATTAATATTTATATTTATAACTTGTTCTTGTTTCTAATCCATTTTATTTTATTCTATGTTATGGTTTTTGGACATTTGTTATGATTATTATTATACGTCTTATTGGACCCTGGTCATGTTATTTACAAGGTCTAACTGTATAATTAGCTAATTTATAATAGATTAATAGTTTTTATCTGAATTGGTAGACATTAGGAACAATCAATGTGGTATGCTTTTTTTGCTATATTTATATATACTGTGTGTGTGTATATATATATATATATATATATATACACACACAGTATCTCCCAGAAGTGAGTCCACCCCTCACATTTTTGTAAATATTTATTCTATCTTTTCATGTGACAACACTGAAGAAATGACACTTTGCTACAATGTGACGTAGTCAGTGTACAGCTTGTATAACATGTAAATTTGCTGTCCCCTCAAAATAACTCAACACACCGCCATTAATGTCTAAACCGCTGGCAACAAAGGTGACTACACCCCTAAGTGAAAATGTCCAAATTGGGCCCAAAGTGTCAATATTTTGTGTGGCCACCATTATTTTCCAGCACTGCCTTAACCCTCTTGGGCATGGAGGTCACCAGAGCTTCATAGGCTGCCACTGGAGTCCTCTTCCACTCCCTCCATGATGACATCATGGAGCTGGTGGATGTTAGAGACCTTGCGCTCCTCCACCTTCCATTTGAGGATGCTCCACAGATGCTTAATAGGGTTTAGGTCTGGAGACATGGTTGGCCAGTCCATCACCTTTACCCTCAGCTTCTTTAGCAAGGCAGTGGTCATCTTGGAGGTGTGTTTGGGGTCATTGTCATGTTGGAATACTGCCCTGTGGCCCAGTCTCCAAAGGGAGGTGGATCATGCTCTGCTTCAGTATGTTACAGTACATGGTGGCATTCATGGTTCCCTCATTGAACTGTAGCTCCCCAGTGCCGGCAGCACTCATGCAGCCCCAGACCATGACATTTCCACCACCATGCTTGACTGTAGGCAAGACACACTTGTCTTTGTACTCCTCACCTGGTTGCTTGCACTTGACACCTGAACCAAATCAGTTTATCTTGGTGTCATCAGACCACAGGACATGGTTCCAGTAATCCATGTCCTTAGTCTGCTTGTCTTCAGCAAACTGTTTGTGGGCTTTCTTGTATCATCTTTAGAAGAGGCTTCCTTCTGGGACGACAGCCATGCAGACCAATTTGATGCAATGTGTGGCGTATGGTCTGAGCACTGACAGGCTGACCCCCCCCACCCCTTCACCCTCTGCAGCAATGCTGGCAGCACTCATACGTCTATTTCCCAAAGACAACCTCTGGATATATGACGATGAGCACGTGCATTCAACTTCTTTGGGTGACCATGCAGGGCCTGTTCTGAGTGGAACCTGTCCTGTTAAACTGCTGTATGGTCTTGGCCACCGTACCGCAGCTCAGTTTCAGGGTCTTGGTAATCTTCTTATAGCCTCGGCCATCTTTATGTAGAGCAACAATTCTTTTTTTTCAGATCCTCAGAGAGTTCTTTGCCATGAGGTGCCATGTTGAAATTCCAGTGACCAGTATGAGAGAGTGAGAGCGATAACACCAAATTTAACACACCTGCTCTTCATTCACACCTGAGACCTTGTAACACTAACGAGTCACATGACACCGGGGAGGGAAAATGGCTAATCCCAAGAGGGATTGTTTACTTTCTGCCTTTTTTGGCATCTCTTCTAGAGTTCATTTTCTCATTAAATACACAATGTAAGCACATCTATACCTATTGAATTGTGGGGTTTTTTCTAACTAAAATAAAATGAAATATCTTGGTGAACAGATTTGATGTTCATAGATCCTCATTCAGCTTGATCTGCCACCTTTCCCCATCTTTACTTATGAGACTTTCCCCTTTTGTGTATTATAGCAAACGGGTCTGTATGAATATAAAATCTATGGCGGCCTGGCTGACTGCCCACCAGACCTGTGTGCGGATGTCTACATGGACCTGGACTACAGGAAGCAATGGGACACAAACGTGAAAGGTTTGTACAAAGTTGGCATTGGAGACCACATTCAGGGATGAGGATGCTGTTGGGCATTTTACCAATTTTACAGAAAATGTCAGAATAGGGATCTCATGTATGAAGGGGTCTCTGCTTCTGCAGGGCACCACTCTGGACTGATGTGAACATCGTCTTTGACTCTTAAGGAACACATGACTTACAGCATACACAGGGTAGAGAATTCTCTCTTTGCTCCATGTGCTAGCACTGGGCACTCACTAAGTACCAACACTGTCATGTGGAAGGTAGGTGAGTGAGTCTCATGCAGCCTAAACCTTCAAGTACAGGGTATTTCTTTTTGCTATTGGTGACTGAACTGAAGGGGTGTGTATGGACAAAACACAAGTTCACTTTTACTGCCTACGGACTGTATTCTGTATATTAACATTTTAAAGTACAGTGCCCTGTCCTGAGGGAACATTAGTCTATTGCACCCTTTGACAGTCATGCACACTAGATCCTGCTTCTAGTCCATACTAACATTCAGGAACCAGTCATCGTGATTCCTGATCATATGTTCACATGCATGCAATCATATTTGTTTATAAACAAGGCCACATCAGCTGAAAGTTTGCAGTATGTTTTTATTTACCATTGTATTAGATAGATACAATTACAGTGTTAAAAAAATATTAAAACAGTTAAGTTATAATAAAAAAAAACAGAGCATGATATATGTTAGATTACCGTATTTTTCGCTCCATAAGATGCACCTGACCATAAAACGCACCTAGGTTTTAGAGGCAGAAAACAGGAAAAAAAATTCTGAACTAATGGACTGCAGACATAGTACAGGAGATGACCAGAGACTGCGGACACAGTACAGGAGATGACCAGAGACTGCGGACACAGTACAGGGGATGACCAGAGATTGTGGACAGTACAGGAGATGACTGCTGACCTTTGGGGAGGGGGGGGGAGCGGGTACCTGAATTTGACAGGTACCCGCTCTTACTTCCGCGGAGTTGTTCTTTGATCTTACCTGTTCCTCTATCCAGCCACGCGCTGTCTACCCGGCTTCTGTAGTGTGGGCGCTTGGCGGACAGCCGGATGCCCTGTGCGCATGAGCGAGAAGCACTGCGCTTTGTGATTGGTCCGGCGGCTTCTGGGATCTGTCATGTGTCCCAGGTACCGCCTTACCATTCACAAAGAGCACCACTTCTTGCGCATGCGCACTTTGCACCCGGCTGTCACGCACACTACAGAAGCCGGGAAGACAGCGCGCCGCTGGATAGAGGGACAGGTAAGGTCTCACTGCAGAGCTGAGCAGCCGGCCCGGAATCCTGACACATGGCGGCAGTGGAAATACCGGACCGGTCGCTCCATATTCGCTCCATAAGACGCACTGACATTTTCCCCCCTTTTTTGGGGGGAAAAAAGTGCGTCTTATGGAGCAAAAAATACGGTATTTAGATAAATTCATTATAGAGTCGATGTCTAAGGTAATTGACCCATGCCTCAATGGTCTATAGTCAGAAAAGGGTTAAGTTAAAGGATAAGTCCACCTTTTGGAACATATTACATGTTTCACCTGTTCTTAGGGTGGAACACATTACATTTTTCACTTGTTTTTAGGGTGGAGCATGTAACATGTTCCAGCAGCTGCAGCCTCTCCCCCGTCCCTGTGACAGCGAGCAGTGATCTTCTCCCCGCTTCTGCTGTCACTATTTGGGCTCCTCCCACACCACCACCTCATTCATTCACAGAGTTCTGCGAATGAATAGACTACAAGTACCATCAGCCTTTGCTGCTGATGGCTTGTAGTTCGCAATGAACTGCGAGGGCGCTGTTGACTATCCTTGTAGTTCATTAATTCTTCCCTGGACTGAACCAACTGCCTGCCCGTATCAGAGGTACGGGCAGGCAGCTACACTAACAGTCTTCAGGAGCCTAACATGGCACCCATGATCTTCTGATCACTGATGCAAGGCTTTCCAGGCTCCGAAGATCGGGCTAAGATGGATGCCTTGTCAGAGGTGATGGCATGCCGCTGGAGCCCTTTGTTTTAAGGTAAATATTTCATAATGTGCATACTAGCACATTATGGCATTGCTTTGTAAAGGAAAAGTTTTTTTTTTCTCCACATTTACTATTGCTTTAACATTTCACAGTGCCCTATTCTCATTAATCTATTATCCCCCTTGACAGCAGCTCACACTGAATCTAGTTTCCAGTCTGTACTAGCGTTCAGGAACCAATCATCGTGGTTCCTGATCAGGTGATCGCAATCATTTTTGTTTATAAACAAGGCCACATCAGACAAAATTGTGTTTTTTATTTACTATTGTATTAGACAGATACAATTACAGTGTTAAAAAAAAGGTATTAATAAAAACAAATTATGGTACTTATTACATTATTTAGATAGAACAATTAGTAATAGAATCATTGTCTAATGTAATTGACCCATGCAGCAATGGCCTATGGTCACAAAAGAGTTAACTCGAACATCATTGTCGTTCTGTAGTCCAGCTCTTTTTTTTTTCAAGGACTAATAGGCCTTATGACAATAATAAAAGCAGAAAATTCTTATCACATATTGGGAGCAGATACATGTGTATTGAAAGAAAGAGGCCACGTGAGAACATAAACGTGTCATTCATTTCATGTCCTTGAGGGTTCGGTATAAGAGTCCTATATGTATCATTTCTGTAGTGACCGTATTACAAAGAAATCAGTTTGCTGCTGCCACCTGGTGGTGCTGTGCTTCTACCAAGGCTAGGCTCAAGGGAATGTATCATCCTAGAAATAATTTTATATATGAATGGAAAAGAGATTACTTTGATATAAAAAATGTTTCTTTATATGTGTACATGTTTTGAAGGAACCTTGGATTTATGCGTTTTTATATTTATATATGTACAGTGGGGCAAAAAAGTATTTAGTCAGCCACCAATTGTGCAAGTTCTCCCACTTAAAAAGATGAGACAGGCCTGTAATTGGCATCATAGGTAGACCTCAACTATGAGAGACAAAATGAGAAAACAAATCCAGACAATCACATTAGCTGATTTGGAAATAATTTATTTGCAAATTATGGTGGAAAATAAGTATTTGGTCACCTACAAACAAGCAAGATTTCTGGCTCTCACAGACCTGTATCTTCTTCTTTAAGAGGCTCCTCTGTCCTGCACTCATTACCTGTATCAATGGCACCTGTTTGAACTTATCAATATAAAAGACACCTGTCCACAACCTCAAACAGTCACACTCCAAACTCCACTATGGTGAAGACCAAAGAGCTGTCGAAGGACACCAGAAACAAAATTGTAGACCTGCACCAGGCTGGGAAGACTGAATCTGCAATAGGCAAGCAGCTTGGTGTGAACAAATCAACTGTGGGAGCAAGAATTAGAAAATGGAAGACATACGAGACCACTGATAATCTCCCTCGATCTGGGGCTCCACGCAAGATCTACCCCGTGGGGTCAAAATGATCACAAGAATGGTGAGCAAAAATCCCAGGACCACACGGGGGGACCTAGTGAATGACCTGCAGAGAGCTGGGACCAACGTAACAAAGGCTACCATCAGTAACACACTACGCCGCCAGGGACTCAGATCCTGCAGTGCCAGACGTGTCCCCCTGCTTAAGCCAGTACATGTCTGGGCCGTCTGAAGTTTGCTAGAGAGCATTTGGATGATCCAGAAGAGGATTGGGAGAATGTCATATGGTCAGATGAAACCAAAATAGAACTGTTTGGTAGAAACACAACTCGTTGTGTTTGAAGGAGAGAGAATGCTGAGTTGCATCCAAAGAACACCATACCTACTGTGAAGCATGGGGGTGGCAACATCATGCTTTGGGGCTGTTTCTCCACAAAGGGACCAGGACGACTGATCCATGTACAGGACAGAATGAATGGGGTCATGTATCATGAGATTTTGTGTGCAAACCTCCTTCCATCAGCAAGGGCATTGAAGATGAAACGTGGCTGGGTCTTCCAACATGACAATGATCCCAAATATACTGCCCGGGCAACGAAGGAGTGGCTTCGTAAGAAGCATTTCAAGGTCCTGGAGTGGCCTAGCCAGTCTCCAGATCTCAACCCCATAGAAAACCTTTGGAGGGAGTTGAAAGTCCGTGTTGCCCAGCGACAGCCCCAAAACATCACTGCTCTAGAGGAGATCTGCATGGAGGATGGGCCAACATACCAGCAACAGTGTGTGCCAACCTTGTGAAGACTTACAGGAAACGTCTGACCTCTGTCATTGCCAACAAAGGATATATAACAAAGTATTGAGATGAACTTTTGATATTGACCAAATACTTATTTTCCACCATAATTTGCAAATAAATTCTTTCCAAATCAGCCAATGTGATTGTCTGGATTTTTTTTCTCATTTTGTCTCTCATAGTTGAGGTCTACCTATGATGCCAATTACAGGCCTCTCTCATCTTTATAAGTGGGAGAACTTGCACAATTGGTGGCTGACGAAATACTTTTTTGCCCCACTGTATGTGGCGGCAGTCATATTTTCTCATGATGCGTGCTTTCCCCCATTGCCTTGCTAGAAAGCAGTTGTGTTATTGTTTTTAATTACAATGCAAGTCCATGAGTCTGCAAACTCAGTGGGAATTATATTTTTTTATTATATTATAATTATTATTATTATTATACAGGATTTATATAGCGCCAACGGTTTGCTCAGCGCTTTACATTATAGTGGGAGACAATACAGTAACAATACAGTTCAATACAAGAGGGATTTGAGGGATTTATAATCATTTTTTCTTTTAAATGACCAATCTAAATCCATCTACATTTATTACAGTTGTGCTCACCCTGGCAGAAAATTGTGAAATTTTGGCATTGATATTGAAAATATGACTGTTGATGCCAAAAAAATGCTCTTTTATTGAACAATGATGATCAAATAGTTGTGTGGCTCCATTTTAAATCATAATGATAAAATAAATCACCCAAATGGGCACGATCAAAAGTTTCCATCCCCTGGAATGTTTGGCCTTGGTGCAGACACACAAGGTGACACACACAGGTAAAATGCCAATTAGAGGTTAATGTCCCACATCTGTGGCTTTTTAAATTGCAATTCGTGTCAGTGTATAAATAGTCAATGAGTTTGTTCGCTCTTACATGGAAGCACTGACTATGCTAGATACTGAGCCATGGGGATCAGAAAAGAACTGTCAAAAGTCCTGCGTTGCAAGGTAACAGAACTTTATAAAGATGGAAAAGGACATAAAAAGATGTCCAAAGCCTGGAATATGCCAATCAGTACTGTTAAATCATCTATTAAGAAGTGGAAAGTTTGGGGATCTCTTGATACCAAGCCACAAAAAAGCCCAGTTACAATATGCCTGACAACAAGGAGCCAAACAACTATCTGATAATAAATGGCTTCATATGATCATCATCCTTCAATAATAGAACATTTTTTGGCATGATCAGTCATAATTTCAATATTAATGCCAAAATTTCACAATTTCTGCCAGGGTTTGCAAACTTTTGAGCACAACTGTATAATACTAAAAATATAGGATACCTACTCTATATGAAAAAATATAATGCGACTTCAGGTGCAATTTGTAAAATCGCATGTCGCACCTCAAGTTGCACGAGGGCTTATTAATTTACATTTAAAAGAAATACCCGAGTTAAGGCTGTCACTGCTGACCTCTTTCTTTCTGGCGGTTATATTAATCCAAATCCTTCAGAACTACAGTGGTACCTCGGTTTCCGAAGGGCTTTGTATGTATGGGAGGGGGGATCCCACGCCGTTTTAAAAAAAATTTTTTTTAATTACCGGCAATTCTTTTACATTCAGCTGTCAGTGGGGAACCCCACTGGCAGCTGAAATATTAACACATGGTTGTCACTACTAAAATACCGCATGACTTGATAAAATAACTAATTCGGTATTTTGGTAGCGTTTACTTTTTTCTGACCTCCGGAACGGATTAATTGGTTTTCAATGCATTCCTGTGGGAAATGACGTTTCGTTTTACGAAATTTTCACTATACGAAAAGTCCTGCAGAATTACTTACATTCGTAAACCGAGGTATTACTGTACTCTGAAAGAAGTCAGTGTGCCAGAAACTCTGACATCACTTGCCACTAGCCATAGACAGCCAGGAAAGTGGGATTTTCAGAAGCTGCTCAGCGATGACAATTTTGGTATTTCTGGTGTGTGGTTTTCTATAAGGAGCTGTTGTATTTTTCAATAATTGAAATAAACTGGGTGTGAGTCACAACTGCCTTTCTTATTCTGCAGCTCTTCAAGAAGAAAAAAACTGGAGAAGACAAAATGATCTATTGGGAAGTAAAGTATCCCTTCCCTCTATCTAATAGGGATGTATCCTTTCTTATAGACTTGGAACAATGTTACTTCTATACCCTTGCAAGAAATCGCTGTATCTAAAGTGTATTTAAAGCTGAACTTCAGGAAGATATAAAATGCAAATATTAGAGTAGTTGTGAACATACAATGTTAGCGCCGGTTCACATCAATGCTTCTTGTCATTCAACTTGCGAGTTCAAAGTCACATCTCATATCTTTCAATAGCCCCACTGTTATCGCTATGATTCAAGTCGCAGCAAAGGTTCCTTCACAATTTTTGTGAGACATCTTTGCGACTTGTATTGACATATATATATATATATATATATATATATATATATATATATACACACACACCAGGGGTGGACTGACAACTCCTGGGGCCCCTGGGCAATAGGGGATCATGCGGCCCCTGTGTCCTTGCCCAAACTCAAAAAAGCCTATGAAAAAGGTACCAGGGGCATCTCATGGGGCCCCCTACTGACCCCGGGGCCCTAGGGCAGTGCCCGAGTTTCCAAATAGTCCACCCCTGATACACACATACTATATATATTTATATACTCTCTCTCATACATACAGACACAATATTACACAAATTCATTAAGCTCTGTAATCTGCAATACATTATTAATTGTAGTTTTTAAATACAAGCGGCATAAGTACCTGAATCTGACCTTGTACCAGCTTCTTGCAGCTCCTGTACGGCAGGTAGCAGGGCTGGAATATGTGAAAAGAAATTAGTACAAGGTGCCAAATCAGTTCACATGCCGACAAGAAGAATGCTGATAGAAGGAGAAAGCAGAGTGACATAGAGATGAACTCATCACTGTGCTGCTTCTTCACTGTCCAGTCAAACTGAAGCGGGCCCAAGCAACCATGGGAAGTGGAATAAATAATTTTGGCCATCGAACTGAGAATAGCTAGCAGCAGAAAAAAAATATCACAGGGGAAATCTCTGTATTGATGGTGAATATTGCAGCAAAACTTGTATATTTGTGTTTTTATTTTTAATGGAATATTTATTTTTATCTTACTTTTGACTGTAAGAAATATCTGTACAACTATCTTCCTTAATCAGTAAGAGCAGTATGTATATGTTCGGGAACGGCGAGATCTAGACATCAGCGGGAGGAAGATCTTTGTGATTCTAGCTAAAAGTGTATCAGTTCCCCACTGGCCAGAGAAGTCAGGCATCATTAGAGTCAATGGTTACAAGCAAAGCCTTGCTATAGAGAGTGATGGGAAAAATGGCTGCAAAAGTAAGTGTTGGTGGGTCAGTGTAGTCAAGTGTAAAAATATGTTACAAATAAAACAGAAGTATTTATTATTACAGACATTATTATTATTGACTCCCTCACAGAACATATACACTCATCTATTTGTTTACAGAACACACATTTTTTAAAAAATAAAAAAAAATCTTAAATCATTGGCATAATAGTAAACCGTTGTTAATTGGATTGTCCTCATCTTAGCGCAACGCGTCTTCTGGACAAAATCCACTTTTTCAGGAGCCCAAAGAATAACTGTTTATTTCGAGCAGTACAGTGGATAAATGGTTAACACTTCTGCCTGGCAGTACTGGGGTCGTTGGTTTGAATCCCAACCATGGCATCACCTGCCTGGAGTTTACATGTTCTCCCTGTGCCTACGTGGGTTTCCTCCGGGTACTCCGGTTTACTCCCACACTCCAAAGGCATGCTGGTAGGTGAATTGGCTCCTGTCTAAATTGTCCCTAGTATGTGTATGTATGAATGTAAGTTAGGTACCTTAGATTGTACGCCCCTTGATGATTAGGGACTGATGTGAATATACAATATATATGTAAAGTGCTGCATAAAAATTGACGGCACAATACAAGTACCTGAAATCAATAAATATTCTTCTGAATGAAAAACAATAATCAAAATTCCAAATATAAAAACAAACATACATAAATCTCACTTCAAATCCCATGTACCATCTGATCCCAGAAAGACAGTGTCCTCAAAACACACCAAGAGGGAAGAAGAGACAAGTTACAGAACCCTACATGGGACTCATATCAGTGGGAATGCCCACCCAGGAGCCACCCCCTCTTATCCAATTCCCCTCAGATCTGAATATCTGCATATTAGTAAACTATGTGGGAAGACACTTGTATCTCATAATCTAAGGTTATCTATGTATAATATAACTGGTAGAAGCATCTAGGTATAATTATCATCATATTTACTACTATATGTATCCAGCGTCAAACCTCCACATTTGCCACAATCACAAGAGAATAGAAAAGACTGGTACTTGCCCAATATGTCCACAATATGATTTGTACAAATTTCAATAGGGATGTGACACTAATGACTAATGACCAAGTTGCATAGAGGAAATTAGAGGGTAGTGACAGATTTTGGTCTTGTAGGGTGCTGTTAAAGCTCAACCCCTGCCAAAACTTTGTACCCGTAGGAAGATTGTAGCTGTATTAGTGCATTTGCGACAGAAACAATTACTGAGTACTGTCCGTGATACTTTTTTTTATTTGCACTAACATACAATTTTGAGGACAAGCTTTCGGGGAGTGTCCCCTTCTTCAAAGTCCAAGCAGTACTACTAACATACAATTTTGAGGACAAGCTTTCGGGGAGTGTCCCCTTCTTCAAGGTCCAAGCAGTACTACTAACATACAATTTTGAGGACAAGCTTTCAGGGAGTGTCCCCTTCTTCAAGGTCCAAGCAGTACTACTAACATACAATTTTGAGGACAAGTTTTCGGGGAGTGTCCCCTTCTTCAAAGTCCAAGCAGTACTATACTGTATATTACTGCTTGGACCTTGAAGAAGGGGACACTCCCCGAAAGCTTGTCCTCAAAATTGTATGTTAGTGCAAATAAAAAAAGTATCACAGACAGTACTCAATTATTACCCGTAGGAAAAAACTAAACCCTGTCGTTAAATACACTTTATGGCCAATAACAGTTCGGGTGTTTCAACTGAAGAATTCAGTTAATACTACAGCATAGTAGAACATTGTGTATATCTATCCTTGAGCCAATAGTTTAGAGGAGGCCTTATCTGTTCCAGCATGCCTGTTCTCCTGTGTACAAAGCCAACTCCATAAAGATATGGAGTGATGAGTTGGGTGTGGTGGAACTTGAGTGGTCCATACAGAGCCCTGACCTCAACTCTACTGAAAAGCTTTGAGATTAATTGGAATGCCAATCTAACTCATCCAACATTAGTATCTGACCTCACAATGCTCCTTTGGCCGAATAGGCATGCATCCCCACAGCAAACTTCCAGAATCCTATGGTAACATTTTCTAAGAAGAGCGATGGCTTCCATAGCTGCAAGGAAGGATGGCAACTCCATATTAATGCCTATGGTTTTGAAACAAGTTCCACCAAGCATATATATACACCTGTGATGGTCTATGAACCTTTCAATGTATAGTGTATCTCTTAGGGTCCCCACTGGTAGGATCTCCCCACCAGTCTTGGTTGCTCTGCCTCCTTCCATATCATGCAGCCTTATTTCCCCTGCATTCTCTGTACAAGAAATGAAAAAAATCATCCTTGAGGATGATGCCCCTTGTATAGTTGGATAGGTAGCCTTGAACATTCCACTATGATACAGTGGCACTAACATAGCATGGTTTTAATCTGCTGACTTTGTTGATTATACTGTATATTGAGATATTATGATATTTAGGTGTGCACAAATTACGTAAACGTTGCATTGCAAAGAAAGACGTTGCTAAAATGAAAAAAAAAATGCTCTTGGAGTTTGTATTTATTGAAAAAAGGCATGAGGACTTGTGTAGTTAAAATGTAAATATGTAATATAGTAGTTATGATATATTGGATTTTTGTACCAAGGTACATGTTTAATTAAACTTTCAAAAACATTTTTTGCAGTTTTTATGTATTATTTTGACAATCCAGGTGGAATGATCCCTTTATGGCTTATTAACTGGGCAGCCAAGGTAAGAGTCTGTTTACTAGTGTTTATAATGTGTCTAGTTTTTGAGGCTTATGCTGCTGGAGAGGATAAACAATGGTGGTGTTGTTTATTACCCAATCTGATTGCAGCATAAATATACTGTAGTTTGCAAGGGACTTAAAACTGGCCATACACTAGTAGAATTTCATATAAACATTCGTACAGAAATTCTCACCAGAACATTCTTTCTTGCCACTACTGAGTCAGCTAATCCAACCAGTTAGAATTTCATCCAGGTTACCTATTTGAATGGAATCCTGGACTTATTAACTGGTCAGCTTCGTGACCAACAGGCCACAGAATGTAATGGTGCTTTACCAATAAAAGTAGGGCATGGGTTATGGGTGCCATGAAGTTTAAACACCACATGACGAGAATCAAACTGTGCATGAGTGTGGGTAGTGCCTTGACTGAGGAAAGACAAAAAATATCAACAAAAAGGTGGGAGGAATTATTATTATTATACAGGATTTATATAGTGCCAACAGTTTTGCTCAGCTCTTTACAATATGACAGGAGACAATACAGCAACAATACAGTTCAATACAAGAGGGAAAGGAGGGCCCATGGAAAGTAGGATGGTAAAAGCTGACAAGGAGTGAGAACTCATGACCAGGGTCCCAACAAAACTCTTTGTATGGCTTCAGGCCTAGCTGTAAATGTCATAAGGGCTGAAGTTTGGTTGATATGGAAAAGTCGATCCAAGAGTACCACAATGGTACAAATTTAGGGTATCATTGTATAGGTGAGTGGTTAACTCCTCCGTCCACAGGATCAAATTGATTTCCTTTGTCCATTCCCTAATGTTGGGGGGGGGTCATCTTCTTCCAATGCCTAGGGACGAGTGCATGAGAAGAAAGCGAAAAACACCCTGTTTAGGTCCAGCAATGGACCCTGGAATTATAGAGAGATAGGTGCCACCTCTGGGATCTCCAGCCATGTTCAACCTGGGATCTTGAGGCACAGTTTAAAGAAGTTGGCCCAGAATGGCCTGATTCAAGAACAAGACCACCACAGATGCAATAGGGTACCCTCAGATTCTGCACACCTCTAGGACCTATCAGTTATTGATAGGATAATCTTCTGCATGGAGGATAGGGTCCTTTACCATCAAATGAGCAGTTTAACGTTTCTTCCCTGGTTATAACTAGCAATGCTCAGCTTAAAAGTAAACAGGAAAGACATGTCCCAGTCCACTTCATAGGTCATAAATCGTATTAGTGTATGGCTGGTTTAAAGGGTCAATGCACCCTTAAATTTGATTATGAAATGACTTGGCAAATTTATATGTTACTTTATTTTGGGATTTCCCCTCAAGCTCACCTCCTTGCTTATATACAATTCCCATCCCACCACATCCATCCTTCTTCTGTTCTCAACTGCATGCAGCTTTAAAACTGTTTTCCCTTACCTGCCTATAACGAACAGTTAATAATTTTTTTATGGCATGTTACATCATCAGAGCAGAAGAGACCGTGGGGAATAGCACTGGCGGGGGAGAGGCATTAGTATTACGAATACCCCTTGATTCAGGTATTGGCAGTGAGGTCAGGTGAACACTAATTGATTCAGACTGATCTAACAACATCAAAACTACAAGTGGGCATTGGGGTGACCAGTAACCCATGGATTAGAGTGCAGACAGGGATGACAGGTCTTCTCTAGTCCTAGGATCACAAGTTTGGAAAAATATGCTGCACATTGGAAATGCACATCTATTAAATGGGGACATCATGCATATAGGTGAGCCATCTCTTGCTTTAGTATTACGTAAACCCAAACTGTGCCTAAATATACACTTTAATGCCTATTCTGGTTCTTTAAAGCGGAGCTTCACCCAGAAAGGGAAGTTCCACTTTAGGGCCTCCTCCCTTGCTCCTGTTAATGAATGGCACTTTTGGGGAAGGAGGGGAGCCTCATTTTGACAGATACCCGCTCCCACTTCCACTCGGACCGCCTAGGTGATTGGAGAAAAACTTCTCCTCCCCCCGTCCTCCCCACAGTCTTCTAGGACACATCACAAGTCCCAGAAGACCGCAAGAACTTTTACAGTGCGCAGCATGGCTCATGAATATGCAGTGGGCACCCAGCTTTGAAGCCACAAGCTGTCTCACCTGGGCAGGGCTGCTGTTAGAAACTACGGGGCCCCATACAGCCAACCTGACAGGGCCCCCTCAAAAAAAAACAAAAAACACACAGTTTACTATGCTTCAGTTATAAATGAACACAATGAGTGATCGGTACCAATCCCTCATTGTCTTCATTCAGGAAAGTAAAGGGCTGGTAAATGTGACATATTTATCTGACCCTTCCCTAAGGCTCCATCCTGAAGGAACCTTTTGCGTCACTGCAGTTGCCTGTGGAAAGGAGAGAAGGGATTCCGGAAGCTCTGCAGGGTGGGGGGGGACACAGGGGTCCTGGGCAGCAAAGGCAAATGTATGGTGCACGGGGAGGGAGATGGGTGCGGCAGGGTGGGTAAATTACTGAAACTGATCCCCTGTATGGCTCTCTCTGCAACAGATGAAAGCCAGCAGGAGGGGAAGGAGAAGAAACCAGCTTTTCGCTGCTGCAGAGACCCATACAGGGGATTTGTTCCAGTAATTGCCCCCCTGACGTACCGATCACCCTCCCTGACCAAAAATCTGATTCACCCAGCTGTCTGGGCCCCATACAGGAGGACTGGTGGTACCCCCTTCTCCACGGCCCTACATCCGGGTGCTCACAGTTAAGATGCTGGCACTAGGGGACAGAAGGTGAAAACAGCTGGGGTGAGCACATCCCTGGATCGTGGGACAAGTGAGTGGCTGTTTATTAAAAGCCAGCAGCTACAGTTTTTGTAGCTGCTGACTTTTAATTTTCACACAGGAGACTGGAGCTCCCTAAGCTACTATACTATTTACCCAGGGCTGGAACAAGGGGTGGGCTGGAGGGGCAGCTGCCCTTGGCACAGTGGAGTAAGGGGGCAGAGAATGGCCACAGGGCAGTAAGCCCAAACTACAGCATGCAATAACAGTCGGGGAAGGGGCACAGTTCCACATTCTTACCCTGGGCACTAGATGAACTTGTCCAATAATCTGTATTTACCTGTTACAGGGTATGGGTAGAATGTTACCCCATCCAAGGATTTGGTATCCCATGCTCAGCTGTCATACAGAACTTTAGAACATCAGTGTGCCACCATACTTTTCTGCAATCTTATTTCCTCTCCAGTGTCATACACAAAGTGGTTGGAGCTTTATTCTAGATTCTGTTGAGGAGGGGCCAATATCCTTTGAAGATTATTTAAAACCTTCATACTTAAAAATAAAAACTTCTATTTTTCTTACCAGACTCAGTTATGGTAAACTGTTTTCGCTAAAATTTCAAGTACATTTTATCAGCACTTTTACATAAAAGGAAAATTGAATTTATTTTGTTTTCTCTGACTCTTTAAACAATCTTGCTATTATTGTCTTTGTCTATTTTGTTGCCGAAACCCATTTCCTTCCAGGCCTCCCTAAAGTTTGAGGCCGCAAAAGCAGCCGTGTATTAATTTTATTACCATGCCCTTAGACGCCAATTAGACAATTCATGCACTGATGTCACTTCTCCTGCATCCTGCTTCTTCACAGTCAAGATAAGGGATTGACGTAAGGAGACGAGGGTATTGTATAAGATCTGATTAGCGAAGTCCCTGGTTTTGGCGAAGGGTATGTGTTTAGGAGGAGCGATTCTGGAAATACAAACATCTTTTATATGTGCGCTTTAAAGTAGCTCTAAGTCCCAGAGGACTCATTTAATTGTTCCAGGGATTGTTTAATCCCCTTATGATATCTTACATTTAAAGGTATTGTTAACAGAATGATCATGGGAGGAAATGGCATGTACCTACACAAAGATTGTTTCATGTGTGCAAAAATGTGTTCAAATGAATGACTTAAAGATGTGATGCACATGTAATTTTTTTATGTTGTTAAAATATACACCCATGAACCACTGCCCAAAAAAAAATTTATAACAATTCTGTTTAGCTGGTCTTCTTATCCAGATGCAATGGCCAGACAACATAGACACCACCGCCAAAGTAAAATTGTATCTGTCTCAAAAAAAAAAAATGCTAAAAAATTCACATGGGTACAGTGTTGCATGACTGCGCAATTGTCATTCAAAGTGTGATAGCACTGAAAGCTGAAAATTGGCCTGGACAGGAAGGGGGTAAAAGTGTCCGGACTTGAAGTGGTTAAACATTATACTCCTTTGTACTGGGGTGTTCAGCTCAGATATGGATCTTATCAGGACTTTTTTTCTCAGGGAATAGGTGTAGGTACTTGTGAGTCAGCACTTGTCTCCGTCCCTCACTCACCTCCAAGCACTGTCCCTTTGTTTCATCACTTGCCCACTTACCAGTACAACCCTTTTAGTGAATACAGAGCCAAGTATCATTTTGTGGTGCTAAGTAATTTGTATGGAATTTGTTAATCGATAGCAAGAAAAGCAATAAAATAAATCCCCTGCAGCCAGCAACAGTAGACCCCCCCAGCAACAACAGACCCGCAACATATTGCCCCCCCTCCCCATAACTATAGATCCACCCCAGCAATAATGTGAGAATCAGTATCCAAAGTACATGGTAAAACAAACAACTATTTCCTCAGTGTAACAAAAGGAAGGAAACTGAAGGTTTGTTAAAATCCCTGTAATGTACATTGATCTCCTAGAGAGGACTGTTTTTTTTTGATTTTTCAACAGAAGGGGAGTTACTCTTTTAACATTACATTTTTCCTGTTTTATTTCAGAGTGGAGTTCCGAACTTCTTGAAGGACATGCAGAAGGCCTGTAGAGGATATAGACAGGGTTCTTCATAATAATTCACCATTTAAAGTGAACCTGTGCTTTGCCCACACAGAGGAAAGAGACAAGTTCACCTACCTAGTTGGCTGCCCTGGAATTTCCACCTTCTTTTTGCTCCCTTTTCATCCTATCCTTTTGCCTGAGCAAAGAGAAAGTACTGTATGAACTCTAAAGCTGGCCATACATTAGCAGGTTTTTGTACAAACATTCCTATGAAAATTTCCAGTATATTCGATGACTTGATGAATGTCACTCAAATGTACCTTGAAATGTTGTTTGCTTTTAACATTCGATTTTGGAATGAATGGACTTTCCTGAATGAAAACCACATACATTGCTGGAAATTCGTTTGAGAAAATTTTTCCATCCTGCACCTTTGAATTTTCTTGTCACTGTGGTTGAAAACGAATGTCAAGTTGACCCCAAATGGACTTCTTTAAACAAAGTATTTTCAATAATATTCTACTAGTATATGGCCAGCTTCAGCCAATCTCATGTAGGTTTACTCAAGGACTTTCTTCCTGCCCCCATGTGACAGCACTTGTGTCTTGACGATTGGCTGGTCAGGCATCCAGCGTGGCACCATTAGCAGAAGATATAAGCATCAAGCAATTTAACGAACCCATTGCTGTGATCTGCCTCGGCAAAGCACATGTTCACATTCAAATTTTAATTGGGTGGATCATGATAAAAAATTGAATGCACAACCTAGTCAGACAAATTAAAAAAGTTGCAACAGTAATTATAAAAAGACTTAGGGGTTGATTTACTAAAACTGGAGCACTCAGAATCTGGTGTAGCTGTGCATGGTAGCCAATCAGCTTCTAACTTCATCTTGTTCAATTAAGTTTTGACAATAGAACCTGGAAGCTGATTGGTTTCTATGCAGAGTTGCACCAGTCTTTGTACCATGCAGTTTTAGTAAATCGCCCCCCAATTCTCTTTAGCCCCTTTCTTTAAACATGTGAAATCCACACGTTTGGTGACAACCAAACGAACTTGTGCTTTTCTGGTGTCCCCACTAAGGATACTTTTGAAAGATCCTAAAATATATGCTGCTATTATATTGCTGCTTCCCTTTGGTTTCCCAACTACAGGCTACCCACATAACTGCTCCACCTTCAAGTCATATTCTACTATGGCCTGCTGTTAAGGACATTGCATTCACATAAGTCATTGGTGTCACAAGCCACCAGGAGGACTTCCTTCCTTATGCTCAGCAAATGGTAATAAATGATCCCCAGCTGCAGAATCAATTGCAGTTATTCAAAAAAGAATTTTACAAACTATTACACATGCCAGACTTGTTACCGGTAAAGTACATTTGCTCTGTGAAGGCTGGAATTGTACCTTAAATAAGTTTGAAGTTTAAAAATGTATTTTATGTACATTAAGTGAAAATGACCAAATCCTCATCTTTCGAATGGTGCAATTCCTTTCTTTTTTTCCAGAAATGGCTACAAAAACAGCTGTAACATACAAAAATGCACAGGGCTAAAACAGTAACAAAATCTGAATTAGTTTTGTAAACATGGCAGCTTTTATAAGTAACCAAAGTGGGACCGTGAGCTATATAACAAATATCATGCTCTAAATTACAAAGGTAACTTGCGCTAGAAAATAACCAGATCAGCGCAATAACACATAGAAGTGCAGTAACACAAGCAAGGCAATATTGAAGAGCATATCAAACAGCTACCAGCTCCCGGATGGATGTGATGACGTCACCGCTGAGCTCTGCCCTACATAAGTTTCGTATCATAGGACATCTTCCAGGGGCAACAGGATCTGTTACCCCCGGGAGACATCCACCATGCCTATTTTTAAATACCTTGGACTGTCTACTTTCCAAAAAGAGGTAATTTGGGGGATATTTGTACTGTCCTGGCATTTTCAGGAGCAGAAAGAAAACTACGAGCTAACCAGTGCTCGGCTAGACACTGATATAAGTCACAAGACTGCTATATACTGCTGATGAGAAAAGGTATTTGGCAGTTTATACTTGCTAAAATAACTGCTTTTCTTTTCACGTTGTGTGTACTGTGGGAGACCAGATATAGTGAATGCAGGGTCCGGGGGAGATCGGATATAGTGAATGTAGGGTCCGGGGAGACCAGATATAGTGAATGCAGGGTCCGGGAGACCAGATAGAGTGAATGCAGGGTCCGGGGAGACCAGATATAGTGAATGCAGGGTACGGGGAGATCGAATATAGTGAATGTAGGGTCCGGGAGAGACCAGATATAGTAAATGCAGGGTCCGGGGAGACCAGATAGAGTGAATGCAATGTCCAGGGAGACCAGATATAGTGAATGCAGGGTCCGGGGAGACCAGGATATAGTGAATGTAGGGTCCGGGGAGACCGGATATAGTGAATGCAGGGTCCTGGGAGACCAGATATAGTGAATGCAGGGTCCGGGGAGACCAGATATAGTGAATGCAGGGTCGAGGGAGACCAGAATATAGTGAATGCAGGGTCCTGGGAGACCAGATATAATGAAATGAAGGGTTCGGGGAGACCAGATATAGTGAATGCAAGGTCCAGGGAGACCGGATATAGTGAATGCAGGGTCCGGGGAGACCGGATATAGTGAATGCAGGGTCCGGGGAGACCGGATATAGTGAATGCAGGGTCCGGGGAGACCGATATAGTGAATGCAGGGTCCGGGGAGACCAGATAGAGTGAAGGGTTCGCAATGTCCAGGGAGACCAGATATAGTGAATGCAGGTTCCTGGGAGACCAGATATAGTGAATGCAGGGTCCGGGGAGACCGGATATAGTGAATGCAGGGTCCGGGGAGACCAGATATAGTGAATGCAGGGTCCGGGGCCAGGTGTCCAGGGAGACCAGATATAGTGAATGCAGGTCTGGGGAGACCGATATAGTGAATGCAGGGTCCGGGGAGACCGGATATAGTGAATTCATGATCCAGGGGAGACCAGATATAGTGAATGCAGGGTTCCGAGGAGACCAGATATAGTGAATGCAAGGGTCCGGGGAGACCAGATATAGTGAATGCAGGGTCCGGGAGACCAGATATAGTGAATGCAGGGTCCAGGGAGACCGGATATAGTGAATGCAGGGTGCGGGGAGACCAGATATAGTGAATGCAGGGTCCGGGGAGACCAGATATAGTGAATGCAGGATCCTGGGAGACCAGATATAGTGAATGCAGGGTCCTGGGAGCCCAGTTGTAGTGAATGCAGGGTCCGGGGAGAGACCAAATATAGTGAATGCAGGGTCCTGGGAGCCCAGATGTAGTGAATGCATGATCCAGGGAGACCAGATATAGTGAATGCAGGGTCCTTGGTTTAGTAACACCTTAATACTATTTGCAGACTGCATCATATGTCATTTTTTAATTTTGCATATGATTGCCATCCCTGTCTCCAAATATTATTTAGAGTCTGTTCTCCAGTCAAAGTTGCGCTGTATTATCTGACAACAGTTTCAACTTACTAGTGGATAAGTGGAGTTTCCTAGATTGACAATAATGTATTATAGGACATACAATAATGAACTGCTTAGAAAAGCCTCCATTCACTAAAAAGTAAGTTTGCCATTAGAAGGGGGCGCCTGGTGAGCTGGAGTACCTGCTAGCTTCTTTTATCGGTAAAGGGGTCTGGTGTTAAGACCATGCCAGCTCAGGTCGCAATTTACTTATTAAAGCACCCATGATCTTTGTGCTTCTCAAATGTTATTTAAATAAATGAAATTGCTGCACACTGCCACAGACAGGTACAATGTCTAAAGATCCCCCTAGAGCAGGGGTGTCAAACTGATGGCCCTCCAGCTGTTGCGAAACTACAAGTCCCATCATGCTTCTGCCTGTGATAGTCATTCTTATAACTGTCAGCCTTGCAATGCCTCATGGGACTTGTAGTTCCGCAACAGCTGGAGGGTTACCAGTTTGACACCTGTGCCCTTGGGTTTACTTTACATAAAATGTTACAATCATGCATACTTAGATAACTGTTATATAGCATTCACACCATATTTTTTGTCCATACCTAACATGTCATGCATCAGATGGTAGCTTGTATTTTCTAGCACATGATCATTCTTTTTCTGTTGAGTAATTACAGTTTTCCTTTGTATTTTCAAATCAATGATGTTTATTACTTGGATATTTCCTGATTTATTAATTTTATGGGTATAATATGTAAATTAATATATTTTGACTAAAAATGTATTTGCCTGCAGAATAAACTTATTCAGATAAAATGAACTCTTGTATAATCATTTGAGTGGAAATAGAACAAAACTATATTCATTAATTCATCTTCCTGGTAAATGTGTGGGTGAGCAGAAGGACCAAATGTTCATTATGTATAGTTTGTCAAGCAAACCTAAACTGTAAAATAAAAGTATTTTTATTTTATTAAGTAAGCCTCCACGATGAAAGTTCATGCAGATATTGGACTTTTCAAGTTCATGCAGATATTGGACTTTGGAGCATTAGCTAGTTCAGCATGCTTAGCGGGATCCATTCAAATGACCAGTGCTGAGAAATTAACCACGTGATGTCTGCTGAGGAAGGTTACCTTTGTTCCATCAGGTAACCTGACTGATCATCTCTTCCTGTCACTACATCAAGCCTCTTTGCTGGAGCCAATGTGACTAATGCCTCAGTACCAGGGGGCAGACTGACAACTCATGGGGCCCCCGGGCAATAATGGATCATGGGGCCCCTGTGTCCTTGGCCAAACTCAAAAAAGCCTATGAAAAAGGTACCAGGTGCATCTCATGGGGCCCCCTATTGACCCCGGGCCCTCGGGCAGTGCCCGAGTTTCCAAATGATCAGTCCGCCCCTGCTCAGTACTGTTAATGTCACCGGACACCAAAGAGAGATGGAGTATCATATTTTATTGGAAAAAGATATGCTAGCCTTTTACCATTAATGATGTTGGTCGCAAAACTGGGGCCCTTTGCTTGCCTATATCCCATCCTTGGGTCATGTTCATCCCACTGATATGAGACACTATTCTGCCCACTGACACCAACAATGAGGCT